CGTCTTGGCTTATACTATATTTGCATTAACAATTTATATGTCTTCAAGAAAAGGGTCAGTTTCAGGTTCAAGGGAACACTTTAATTTTTATTTACAAGCATTATTATATCTATACAGAAATCTGGGTTAATACAATTTATTATTTACAAAAAAAAAAATTAAAATTAAGGATTTAAGTTTGATTCACAAGTACAGTTCACTCCAAGGACGTGAAGTTCTCGAGTCTACGACGAATTTTAAACGCATGGTCTGCGGCAGAACTTAATTATCACGTGACGTGATACACGAAATCTCAAAGGACTCACTTGGAAACAGGTGGAAACTCCTGCCTATTCAGTCAATTCATAATAAAACAGAAAATCCACACTTTTTTTTATTGATACCAGAACACGCTTCCTCTGCTTCTCCCAAAACATCCATTTAAGAGAATCTGTCAAGAGAGTGGGAGTCAGGTTACTTCACTTCTCAATGGAATAGACATTTTCTCAGATCATGGTCTATCACCAATCACGATGGCAACACTCATGACGTAAACCATATCCAAACTGTAATTGTTCGACCTGTGAACGTTGCCCAGACAATCGCTAATTATTGTAACATTATCCATGGCTCTGATTATCTGTTGTCAGATGTGAGTTACAGGATGTTCTCATTAGAACAAGACACTAATTGAATGTACACTCAAGAGCCAAAACATTATGGCCACCCCTACATTTTGCAATGAACTCGCCTGAATGACGTGGAAGGCACGTGATCAGGTGGAAGTGGTATTTAGCTGGTATTAAGTGGTGGTATTAATCCATGCCAAGGCGAGTTGAAGCTGTGTTGCGCGCCAAAGGTGGACCAACTCGTTATTGACAGGTGGTCATAATGTTTTGGCTCTTGAGTGTAGTATAAATATCCACGACACTGCTTATTTGCTATCAGATTTGAGTGATAGGTTGTTATTATGCAGTAGTTAAAGAATATACATTCTTTTTCCCTGGAAATGAAAAAGCAATATCTCTTCTCATGGGAAAATATAATGCAGGGCATAGATAAATGCTAAACAATCATCATTTTCTGTTTAATATTGTCCTAATTCTACAAAGTCAAAATATTCATCAACTGCTGTATATTCCTGATAATAGCTGGTTAAGGCAGTTAAAGACTTTGATTAGACACGATTCGTCGTTTCCTACAATAAATCACAGCAACTATTGATAGAAAACGTTCCATCCTTCCATGCCAGAAGTAATCTGCGAAAAATAAATATTCTTTCCGTGACGTTCGAATATCATAAGGTCGCTTTACAATCCGATTTCCCGCATTGCATTCTATCCCACGCTTACTTGTATAAGAACGTATCTGATTTTCAATAAGACTTCTGATCCACGCCTTTTCTATTGATGATAAAAAAAATCCTTTTCAAAAAGTAAAAAAGAATGATTTCAAAGAGATACGAATCACTAGAATTGTCATGACATTTTTTTTAACTCTCCAGAAATCCCAAATTATTTTTCTTTAAATCCCCGTAATTATTTATTTTCATCGGAGCATAAATAAACCAACGAGACAGTTGCCCAGGGAATTGTCCTTTAATATTTGAATCATGGGAACCAAAATGAAAGAAATTTTAAAACTTAGGAATCCCTGCACTGAATAGATTCAATTTGTAGCTAAGAACTATAAGTAGTTGTAAATATGATTTTCCGCTAAAGAACTTAAATTAAACATCATTTAACATTTTACTAAATAAATGTTTAAATACGAAATATAATGATATACAGATATTATGATTATTAAAGCGATGATGATTATGATAATATGTAGATATTATTATTAAAGCGATTATGATTATGATAATATGTAGATATGATTATTAAAGCGATGATGATTATGATAATATGTAGATATTATGATTATTAAAGCGATGATGATTATGATAATATGTAGATATTATGATTATTAAAGCGATGATGATTATGATAATATGTAGATATTATGATTATTAAAGCGATTATGATTAGGATAATATGTAGATATTATGATTATTAAAGCGATTATGATGATATTATGATTATTAAAGCGATTATGATATATGATATTATGATTATTAAAACGATTATGATTATGATTATTATGATTATGATAATGATTATGATTATTTATATTCATGATTATAATGATTATGGTTATTTATTACTCCCACTAAATATACTACTTTTATATATGATTTATTTCGGGTTATAAAAAATTTTTTTTCTGTCCTTATTATTACTATAAAGATACATTTATTACGATTTTCATTTTTTGTATCTTTTATTGTGATTTTTTTAGTTTTTATTGCATCTCAAGGTATGTCGTCGAACGAATGGAAATGACACCAAAAGTATCGATTTACGACATTTGGAGATATTTTTAATAACTTAACACATTCCGACCTGAAACATTAATACTTAATGAGTTATTTCGTAACGGAATTGTTTTAAATGAAAATACCAATCACGGTTTCTAAATTTCACTAATCACTAATTTAGTATAAGTATTTCATTTTAATGAAAATGTAGTAATTTGTAAAGTAAAAATATAAAAAAAAAACTAATAATAGATACAAAAAAGAAATTAAAAAAAAATTGAAGGTAATCAAGGACTTCCAAAAACCACATCTCCAAAACAATGTACATATATTTTATGATTAATAAACATTTTGACATATTTAGCAGTTATTTAATAAGTGCAAAGTAAATGTTTTTGCCAATTTGTCAAGACAGTATTTAAATTCATTTCATTCTTTATTATAGTTATCATTTATTTACAATGCATATTTATTCAGCCGGGAATATCTATTTTCCTCACACAGTAAGTGAATTAAATGCAATAAGGAATAAGATCATTTTCACATGCATCGTTAATTATAATGAGATAAAAAATTATTCGTTATAATATATCGTAACAATATGTTAAGTAAATTAATAGACTATTAATATGTAGTCTATGTTAAATTCATTTAAATATTGGAAAGGCAAATATAAACTATTAAATAATAATAGTGTTTAAAGTTGGTGTCATCTGGAGCTTATTATGATGTTAATAAAAAATAAAAGTTTTTAATTAATTAAAAATCATTATTATTTTTTTTTGCACTTTTGGCTATTGTTTTTTACTGTGGGAAAACATTTAATCTTTGTTATAATTTTTAACTTATTACAAAATATACTCAAATCAATTTACATATATATTTCCAAGATTTTCGCGGTTACTGAAGCAGCTTTTTATTTCTCTTTATTTATTTATTCTCTATTCCTTTAAATTAAGATTAATGTTCTAGAGGTTATAGTGATTTATTTACATTCACAAATATTAAATTAAATTAGTGATAAAATTTAATCATGCAGGCTACACTGTATACAATATGTTCATTACTATGAAATAACAACATAAGAATATAATTAAATTTCCACTTTTATCACAAAATAATTTAGCTATTCCGGAAGCATTAAGGGGGAATATGTGACGAATTATTTTTTTATTTTCTTCCTCACAACTCTTCATAAACTAATTTCGCAGCTCCCCATGATGAGAACTGGTAAGCGGAAAAGGAAATTATTTTTCCCAGCTGGAGATTTTTAATAAATATTTCCTGTTGCTCAGTGCAGCTTCTAACTATGTCACAAGTTTCTACTATTTCAGGCTATAAAATGCTTAGCAAGATTAGCCCATACGGCTGAGAGACCAAAGATAGGAAAATGCTAATCCGGAATCACTGATGGTGATGCTTTGTAAATCAGATAACTGATTTACAGCAGTATTTTTAAATAAATTAAACACACGTTTAATGTCATTCTATTTTACATTTATTTTTTAATATGGACTATCTGAAATCTTCGTATAAATAATTCTAACATATTAAAAGACCTTAAACCTGAAGTTTTTTTTTTCAGATTAATGATTATTATTATTTTTTTCCAATGCAGCTGGCAAACAGACATGGACGTCTTAGATGCCTTAAGGCAAACACTGCACAGACGTTACTCACATTACCCAGGGGGCGCGTGTAACTTGAAGATAAGCCACGGACGCCGAGTAACAATGCCCCCGCAACGCTCTACGATCATATTAGACCAGGTCCTACGGTTTAAAGTGGAATCCGAACCTCTACACACATCCATGGCACCGCCGGGACTCGAAGCCGAAACCTATGGTAACGAGCGCCAGAGCGCTAGCCACTCGGCCATTCAGGCCCCTAATTATTATTATAGCTTGTAACAATTTTTGTTTATTCCTTAGCCTGCATAATTTTTTTTGTTTATGTAAATACTCTTATAAACTGCATATCTCCTGTCTTTGACTGCTAAATGGAATAGGTGCTGTAGTGTGTTGTCTATTAATGTATCAAAAGTTTTATAGTTTTTAATAACCATAATTGTTTGATAAATAGGATACCAGCTAATTTGAATTATTTATTTAATTACATTTTACTGTTAATGTAAATTTTATTTAGAACACAAATTTAGTAATGATGAAATAAAATGTATAGTTCAAAATTTTTTATATGATGTCAAATATTAAAACCTGAACTATAAATTTTATTTTACTTGTCCTTTTTCTCACAATATCGATTTGATTACAGTTAAAGAATTAATTTATATTTAAAAAATCTCATCAGCAGAGATTAAATGAAAAATATATTGTTGTTCTAGTGCAGCAGGCAATACCGAGGCAGTTAATCTTTATGCCTTAAGGCAAGCGCTGCACAGACGTTACTTATTTAGCACTACCCAGGAGGTACATGTAGCTTGAAGATAAGCTACGTACGTGCAGTAACAATACCCCCGCAACGCTCTACGATCACGTTACAGACCGGGACCTACGGTTTAAAGTGTATTCCGAACCACTACATACATCCATGGCACTGCTGGGACTGGAACCCGAATTCTTTGGTACCGAACGCCAGAGCGCTAGCCACTCGGCCATTCAGGCCTTTAATGATTATTATAGTTTGTAGCATTTTTTTTATCTAACGGCCATACCATGCTGAATATACCGGTTCTCGCAGAGCATCATTGGGCGCGGTCAGTACTTGGGTGGGTGATCACCTGGGAACACCGCGTGCCGTTGGCATTCACAAATTTGGGACCTGAATAGCCGAGTGTCTTGTGCTCGGTGCCACAGGTTTCGGGTTCGAATCCCAGCAATGCCATGGATCTTTGTAGTGGTTCGGAATCCACTTTAAGCCGTAGGTCCCGGTCTCCTATGACTGCAAGAGCGTCACGGAGCCAAAGTCAGACTTCTACCTACGGGTGCTCCATCACAACAGAAGCTGCTTCCGTCCCCTTCAATCATGAGTACGTATGGGCTCGTGTGATTGGCCAGCCAAGTGGGATAAGAAACAACAAACAACAACAACAATTTTTTTTACTTATTAAAGAGGAGCCTGGATAGATCAGGGCGTTAGGGTTTAAACTAACAATCAAGTATTGGAGTCACCGTTTCGGCGGAATTAGTGCTCATTTAGAGATAGAAAATATTTTGGGGGCCTGATGGCTGATTGAATACTGGCCCTCGGTGCCGCATATTTCGGATTCGACTAATGGGGTGCCATGGATATTTCTAGTGTGCCACCTTTTTCACCATTTAATACCATAAGGTTCAATCTAATATGAACTACCACTACTACTACCACACCACATCACTGTGCCTAGAACAGAGTAGTGAAATATAGTGAAAAAAAAAAAGGTAGGAATTGACTTTTTTTTTTTTTTTTTTTTTATATTACTTCTTTTAATAAAATTTTATCTAATCATCTTATACCATAAGGTTCGATCTAATATGAACTACCACTACTACTACCACACCACATCACTGTGCCTAGAACTGAGTAGTGAAATATAGTGAAAAAAAAATAGGAATTGACTTTAATTTTTTTAAATTTTTTATATTACTTCTTTTAATAAAATTTTATCTAATCATCTTATACCATAAGGTTCGATCTAATATGAACTACCACTACTACTACCACACCACATCACTGTGCCTAGAGCTGAGTAGTGAAATATAGTGAAAAAAAAAATAGGAATTGACTTTATTTTTTTAAAATTTTTTATATTACTTCTTTTAATAAAATTTTATCTAATCATCTTATACCATAAGGTTCGATCTAATATGAACTACCACTACTACTACCACACCACATCACTGTGCCTAGAGCTGAGTAGTGAAATATAGTGAAAAAAAGTAGGAATTGACTTTATTTTTTATTTTTATTTTTTATATTACTTCTTTTAATAAAATTTTATCTAATCATCTTATACCATAAGGTTCGATCTAATATGAACTACCACTACTACTACACCACATCACTGTGCCTAGAGCTGAGTAGTGAAATATAGTGAAAAAAGAGTAGGAATTGACTTTATTTTTTTTTTTTTTTTTTATATTACTTCTTTTAATAAAATTTTATCTAATCATCTTATACCATAAGGTTCGATCTAATATGAACTACCACTACTACTACCACACCACATCACTGTGCCTAGAGCTGAGTAGTGAAATATAGTGAAAAAAAAGTAGGAATTGACTTTATTTATTTATTTTTTTTTTTTTTATATTACTTCTTTTTAATAAAATTTTATCTAATCATCTTATACCATAAGGTTCCATCTAATATGAACTACCACTACTACTACCACACCACATCACTGTGCCTAGAGCTGAGTAGTGAAATATAGTGAAAAAAAAGTAGGAATTGACTTTATTTTTATTTTTTATTTTTTATATTACTTCTTTTGATAAAATTTTATCTAATCATCTTATACCATAAGGTTCGATCTAATATGAACTACCACTACTACTACCACACCACATCACTGTGCCTAGAGCTGAGTAGTGAAATATAGTGAAAAAAAAGTAGGAATTGACTTCAATTTTTTTTTATTTATTTATTTTTTTTTTTTATATTACTTCTTTTAATTAAATTTCACTGTTAAAGTGAATTTTATTTAGAAAATATATTTAGCAATGATGAAATAAAATGTATAATTTAGATATTAATATATGATGCCAAATATTAAAACCTGAACTACAAATTTTATTTTACTTGTCTTTATTTTCAAAATATCGGTATTAATTACAATTCAAAAATAAATTAAAAATATATAAAAAAAAATATGTAAAAAACATTGCTTAAATTAATTAAATCTTTATAATATAAATGCTCTTATAACTTATATATTAATATAACTTGTATTTGTCTTATGACAGACATTGAATAATATGCCATTAAGGGGCTGAATGGCCGTTTGACTGGCGCTCGGTGCCTCAGGTTTGGGCTCGAGTAACGGCGGAGCCATGGATGTTTGTAGTGGTTCGGAATGAACTTTTAATCGTAGGCCGGGGTCTAATATGACAATAGAGTTTAGAGCATAGAGCTGGAGGCATTAACCCTTAAAAACATCTCCTGTCTCGAAATCTGCTGATAAGCAAATGGTTTTGTCTTATGATGGGGCTGTTGCGCCAATAAAGAAAAATATGCCATTAAACTCCACATATTAATGCTAATTAAAATAAGACAGAAATCCCTTGTTGGATGTATTGTGAATTCTTAAACTAAGGATGCTTTGTACGAAACGCCACAAGACAGTCTGAACTTGAAGTACCGTACACATGCCACTGATTTCACACTATAAATTTGTTACTCTTTAAAAAATGATCCTCTGTTGAGTTCAAGAAGTGGGCCTGAATGGCCGAGTGGCTAGGCTCTGGCGCTCGGTACCACAGGTTTCGGGTTCGACTCCCGGGGGTGATATGGATGTTTGTAGTGGTTTGGAATCCACGTTGAACCGTAGGTGCCTGTCCTAATAGGATCGTAGAGCGTTGCGGGGGCAGTGTTACTCGCGTCCGTGGCTTATCTTCAAGTTACACGCGCACCCTGGGTAATGCAAAGTGAGTAACGTCTGTGCAGCGCTTGCCTTAAGGCCTCCAAGACCAAGCTGTCTAAGTGTTTGCCAGATGCATTAGAAAGAAAAAAAGTTCAAGTAGAAGGGAGCTTCCAAAATGATAACCTTAAAGTAGTATTCGTTCAAATTATTGTGGCAAAATGTGTTTACAATATAACAGATGCACATTGGATAATGTTTAAGTCTATTTTTAAAATGTAAAATGATTTTGGACACTCAAAAAACAATAACATGCTACTAAAATATTTTTAAAATAATATTTTATTTATTTACCAAAAAATTATGTTTATTTCTAACTATTTAATATCAGGAGTTCCACTCGTCAATTATGTGGATTGAATATATTCAATTTTTTTTAGGAGCCTCTAGATAAACCTTGAAAAGGTTTCCATAAATTTAGAGGGTTGCTATTTAATGTACAATTCACGCATTATAAATGCAAAAATAATTACATTAATATTGATCTATTACATATAGCTCTAAATAATGAAGACAAATATGCATTACTGCAGTCAATATCTGTCTCTCCATTATTAATATGTAGGCATGGGAAGAACGCATATTCCATTATATATGATTCCTCTTGAGATTGGTCTAGTCACGCGAACATCTATTACTTTGTTTTATATTATTGTTTAATAATTGCTTATGCTTTACCAGCTTTATTATAAATTAATATGCAAATGACTATGTATATATGAAGGCATCAAAGTGGGAATTATTTCTTCAGGATAAATGGAAATATTTACGTTAATCTACAATTTTATTTAAGTATGTGTTTTACTAAAGCATTTTTATCTTCGAATGTTGATTGACTTGATGTCCTTCACCATTATAACGACAAGCATATATGTAGTAGATTCATTGTGGATTCATCCAATATTCATCTTAGATTCGTCCAGGAATCTTAGATTCCTCAAGGAATATTAGATTCTATCCATCTTAGATTCATCCATGTATCTTAGATTCTATTTTTTCTTACATTCATCCAGGAATATTATATTATATTCATCTTAGATTCAGTCATGAATCTGAGTTTCTATTCATCTTAGATTCATTGAGGAATCGTAGATTCTATTAATCTCAGATTCATTGATTCTATTCCTCTTAGATTCTTCCAGGAATCTTAGAATCTATTTATCTTAGATTCATCCATGTATCTTAGATTCATCCGTGAATCTTAGACTCCTTTTTTTTAGATTCATCCAGGAATATTAGATTATATTCATCTCAGATTCAATCAAAGCTTTGTTATATCCGAATGTTAGTATTTTGACCTGATGTCCTTCACCACTATTTCATATATATATAGCAGATTTATCGTTCTAAATGACACCATGGGGGCCTGCTACATTGCATCCATATTCTACCTCCCACAGTTTAGAATAATCTTTGGAAGGTTTCATCCTCCCTTGGTTCTTCTCGTGTAGATATTCTATGGAGGCAGATATCCCATCCAATATATTCATCGGCTATATTAACTGTATAAGCAGGCAAAAGGATGTACGTGCTAGGAATATTTACAGGTTTCCATTGTAATCAATGCGCTAATCTATGAGTAATCCTTGCAATCAATGGGCTGTACAGTAATAGTAATATAATCTAAGTATAGTATTAGTATTGTATATATATATATATATACAGAATTAGTATAGTATTGTATATATATATACAGAATTAGTATAGTATTGTATATATATATACAGAATTAGTATAGTATTGTATATATATATGCAGAATTAGTATAGCCAACGGCCGTACCATGCTGAATATACCGGTTCTCGTTAGATCACCGAAGTTAAGCATCATAGGGCGCAGTCAGTACTTGGGTGGGTGACCACCTGGGAACACTGCGTGCCGTTGGCAAATTTGGGACCTGAATGTCCGAGTGTCTAGCGCTCTGGCGCTCGGTGCCACAGGTTTCGGGTTCGAATCCCGGCGGTGCCATGGATGTTTGTAGTGGTTCGGAATCCACTTTAAGCCGTAGGTCCCGGTCTTCTATGACTGTAAGAGCGTCACGGAGCAAAAGTCAGACTTCTACATACGGGTGCTCCATCACAACAGAAGCTGCTTCCTTCCCCTTCAATCATGAGTCCATATGGGCTCGTGGGCTTGGCCAGCCAAGTGGGATAAGAAACAACAACAACAACAGAATTAGTATA